AATGTGGGCTTAATATGCGGCTCGGCTTATTAGCCGTGGGCTTAATAGCCGGTGACTACTGTATTAGGCATTTAACAGATGGTCATACGCGTGAGCCGCCACGCTGCCTGCCACAACAGCGTTCACCTGGGCCGAGGTCACAGATCTCTCGTCAGATCTGAGTGGTCCGTGTCTGTGATAAGTTTTCCGACCCTTTCTCATTAATAGCTACACGCAGCCCTTTTGTGAGAATGACTTGATGATTTATGAATATAGCCCTCCTCGTAGGCAGTTGATTGCCCTCTCTTCTTCTTCTCCTGTGCTGGTTTTGGGAGCAAAAGTCGGGCAATTCCGCACTTCGTGTTAATTGCAAATACCAGGGGCGGGTCAAAAGAGCTTTCCATACTGCCTGTCCCTCCAGCACCGTTGTTCTTAACCACAACATACAAGAGCTTCCACTTCCTCGTGCACCTACAAAAGTGGTATCATATGCGTATGATGTTGCCTTCTTCTGCCGACAATATCACATTGATCAGGCTGCACAGCTCCTCTCAGAATTCATGCTTGATGTCGTAAACTTCTTCACTCAGCGCTGGCTGACGATCTCGGTAGCCAAGCCGTCCGTCACTGTTTTCACACTGGACCAGAACGAGTTCAATCGTCACCCGGCCATCATCGTCAACGGCGAGTCTTTACCACTTGTCCGTAAGCCGAAGCTCCTTGGCATCCGTTTTGATCCGCTCTTCACGTTTGCGGACAAGGCAGTAGGCAAAGTGAGTCGCTGCACCAAGGTCCTCAAGGTTCAAGCGGGCACATCCTGAGGCTGCGCGAAAAAGACTTTGGCGACCACATTCATAGCACTGACCAATCCGCACCTCACTTATGCGGCACCAAAATGGTCTCCTATGATCAGCTCTTCCAGCCTCCGCCGCCTTCGGTGAGCACAGAACGCCGCCTTACGCACAATCACGGGTTGCTATAAAATGGCGCCTATCGATCATCTTCATACGAAGGCCTCTGTCCTACCGGTCGCTCCTCACAACGAACTCTTAGGCCAGCAGTGTTGGTTGACTAGTTCGCAAACTGGCCATCCTCTTGAACCCCACCGTAGTATTCACCCAACTATTCGACCTCTCCACAGGGAAGCTGTCGCCTCATGTCTCTTGCATTTACCCATTGATGGCTCTGCCATCATGAAAGGTTTCCAGCGCCATCACCAGAAAGCCGTTGTCGAAGCAAGACTTAGCTACGAGACCACTGTCTTTTTAGGTAGCTACCCACCTCCGATTGCGGCCTCGGAACGACAACTCTTGAGGGTCACTGGCTGTACCTTGGTTCAAATACGCAGTGCCTACTCCATGCTCCTTTGTCGATACCAACACCGGTTCGATCCGTCCACATCCGACAGCTGTCCCGATTACGGCGTCTCTCCGCATGACTGTCGGCATCTTTTCACCTGCAGTTCCCGGTCAAACACGCAACTCACCCCGTGGGCCTTTGGCTCAAGCCGATTAATATCGCGGCCCATATCCGTCTTCCAATTACAACCAATTTGGATTCTGGCGGGGACTTTTGATCCAACAAGGGCCAGTACACACACAGCACAACTGCTATCACTGTGTTATAAACTTGTGTGTGCCTGCGTCGACACTGGTTATATCCTCCAGTTGCGTGTTAGGAAGAGAAGGCAGACAGGATAGCAGATAATAATTTACTGTCACTGTGTCTGCTTGTACATCAACTCTGTCTTCTGTGTGTCCGGCAGCCTGTCCTGTATCCATCAGCAGCGTGCGTTCTGTCGTCGTCTCATCTCGGCAGCAGAATATCGTCTAGGGAAACAGAGTCCCGTGTCTCAGCAGCAGAATGCCGCCTCCAGTTGGTGGCAGCGTATTTAAGGATCAACGGCCTTTGTTCCCTATTGGCCCCTCTGCAGGCAGCCATCATGGGGTGTCCTCAGGATGACACGTCGCCTCACTGTTACGCGCGCATGTGCATGCGTCATTTCGTGCCCCCTTGTCGGGCTTGACCCCAGAACGCGACCGGCGGCTGTCCTAGCGCCCTCGTGTGTTGGCCATTTGAAGATCG